CTTGGACCAGTCATTTCCAAGAAGTAAGGAATATGAAGTAGCAGTAACAACTTCAACAGTAATAGGCACTGTGATTCTTTCTATTTGCACTGAAAGGTCTCTAATAATTCCAAGAGGTCTGAAGGAAATACCTGTAGCAGAAATGATGAGGCTGGTAGAAGCTTGTTCAATTTACAGTCCAAGTTTTTAAACTACTTTATGAGCAATCATACTAATAGAAGCACCACTATCTATAATTGCCTAATAGGATCTATTACTAAGTCTAATATTACATTTTACAGGTGTAGTAGTTGGATCTGAAGTGGTAGGGAGGATGGTCTTGGCTTCATGATTAAGATGGGCAGAAAGAGCACTTCGGATAGAAGGGTTATCGAGTAAGGTTTCCCATTTCTTCTGACTAATAGAGTTAATGTTGAAGTTCTGGTCTGCATAGTTTATATTGCGATAATAGAGTGAGAGTGATTGGTTGGAAAGTCTGTAAGATCTTTCTCTACTATGTTCTCGAGAAGAGGCTCAGTCGAATCTATAATAGTTTCTGTCTTGTGACTAACTTTTGTTTCTGTAATTATCTCTATTTCGAAAGTGAGATTGATTATGATAATTTCGACGAGAATAGTTTTGGTAAGAACTTCGAGAAGTTTGTTCTGATTGTCTGGGTCTTCAGAACTGTTGATCCTGTCTTCGTACATTGCACTTGGCAATAAAATGTCTGGTATGTCCATAGTAATGACAAGTAGGAGGTTGTCAGATAGGAGGAGCTTGATTAAGAGTATCAGCATAGTTGACAGTAGTGGGGGTTGTCTTCTGAGCAAGCTTAATACTAAGTTGAGCAATCTGATTAGTTAATTGTTTGATTGCTTGGTCTGTTTCTGTAGTGGTAGCATTAGTCATGAGTCTTCCAGTTTCCCATCGACGAGCAGCAGTGATAGCATCATCAAGAGTTGCTGATTCTGATGCTTGCATATTAATAGCATACTCTGGTTGCAGTTTTTGAATAAAAAGTTGAATAACAAAAGCAACAGGGAAGGCATCAGCAGAATCTACTTTTCTTCGCAGAGATTTAAATCTGCTTACATAAGCATCAACACTGTCTGTTCCTTGTTTGATGTCAAATAACTGTTTTTGCCAAATTGCTTTTTGCTTAGCAGTTCTAAAACAAGCTTTAAACAAATGCTTGAAACTTCAGGCTTAAGCAGCATCATTATTGTAAGTGTTAGGCTAGGGATTCAGACTGTGATACCAGTATAGAGCAATACTTTTCATGTATACTGGTGCAAGTTCTAATCGACGAGCATCATTCCAACGATTTGCTTTACAAGCTTTTTGAAATTCTTGAAGCCAGATGAGTGGATTCTGGGTTCCATTACCAAGGAAGGGCTCTACTGTGATTAATGTTTGTTCAGGAGCAGTTCCTAAAGCAGTGGTCAGTGCAGTTATAGCAGTAACAGCATCTCGTAAAGCTTGATCACCCATATTGGCAAGAGGATTAGGAGGATTGAGAGGTGGTGGTAGGGGTAAGGGTATAACAAGAGGTTAATAAACAGGAGGTGGAAAAGATGGGGCAGTGTTAACAAGGTCAGCTAGGTTAATATTTAATTCATGGTCTGAGTCTGGTTCTTCGTCACTAGAATTTCTAGATTCAAGAATATTTTCTTGGTCAAGATGAATAATCCAAGAGGGAGTATCATTAGTTTCTAGTGGAGTTTGGTGAGTGACTTCTTCACTATATGGGAGATGGTTATTTTCTGGTTCGTAGAAGTGATGAGTGTCTTCTAGTAAGGCAGTTATGCGAACACTGTTGTTTGTAGAGGTAGATTGCAAGATAGGGCTTCCTAAATTTCCAAAGAATTGACTAATGTTTTCTGGTTCTTCAAAACTAAAAGTTTGAGGTTCGTCAAGGTAATAGTCAAAGGTGTTTTGGTATTGGAATGGTAAGGTAGGAAGTTGGAGAAGAGGAGTATGTCATTAAAGAAGTGTAAGGGCTATGTCTCAGGGGTTAGAAAGTGCAGTTGTATAGTGACAGCTAAAAATAATATTCCAGATTGCTATACAAGTATCAGTATAATTGGTAGTACTGGTAAGTATGGCAAAAGCATCTTGAGTTCTTCGAGAGTAAAGTAAAACTGAGTAGCGAAGGTTGTAAAAGGTCCAAAATCTTCCAAAAGGTGTACAAGAACTTATTCGACGAGGGTAATAGCAATCAGTGCAAGAAAGGTCTGGGTAGCATAATTGTAATACATTTAAAGCTAAATGTTCTAAGTCTAAATATGCTTGCTGATGGTTATGAATATATTCCTGATATAACTTGTTAGCAGTTTGTACCATATGCTAAAGAGAGAGTTGCTAATATAGCAATTGTCTAAGGTCTACTAAGAAGAGGAAAATGGCTTGCATGCTGGAGACAGATGTCCAGAGATTTCAACAAAAATACAGCTCATGTGCTGGAGACAGATGTCCAGAAAATTCAAAAATATGGCTCGTGTGCTGAAGACAGATGTCCAGAAATTGCTAAAGAAGAGAGGTAGAAAAGAGGTGCAGAGGGATTTAATTATATTTTCACCAGAAGGCATCAAATATTACAGTACCATGGCATTCTTAACAATAGTACTATAACAATGACATGGCTACAGGGATCCTTTATAGGTTTATAGCGATGTTCAAGAGGTAAGTATAATTTCTTAGTCTGTAAGAAACTATACCCTTCTCTCTAAGACAGTTTGGTAAAACAAGTAATGATAGTTTATACTTTAAACAAAGATAACAAGCCTTGCCTGTAGGAATTACCCTAGAGAGGAAATGTTATATACTT